ATTCCCCCTGGGGGGTGATTTCTCGCTTTCTATCTCTATGTCTCTCTCTGTCTGTCTGGCGAGCGCATGCACCCTATAGCGAAAACCTCTCAAAAAAAAAAAATCACAACAAATAGGGACCAGCAGATGGCATAATGGCTACCTCGCTGGATTCCCATATCACCGACCACAGTTCAAGTCCTGGACCCGGTGGCTTAAACTCACGCCGAGTGCACATGCAGGCATGCCCAAGATCCCGAGAGGAGAATGGAGGAGAAGGGATTGCAGCGTGGCCATTCCCCCTGGGGGGTGATTTCTCGCTTTCTATCTCTATGTCTCTCTCTGTCTGTCTGGCGAGCGCATGCACCCTATAGCGAAAACCTCTCAAAAAAAAAAAATCACAACAAATAAATAGATAATAAATAAATGCTTACAAAGAGAGAGAGACTAAAAAACCAAGTTATATTTGAACTGAGCAAACCCAGAACAAAGGAGAGAGAAGATCTACATGATTTTCAGTTTGAATGATTTAACCTGAGTTCCAATCACCTCCCAGGCCTTTGAAAATGCTGCCTTCCCCCCCAGAAGGCCTTTCTCCGCACTCTGATTCTCACCTGCCTCCATTGACCTTTCCCTGGCCAAGTCCTGACCATTCAACCTTTGAGCTTAGACCTGGCTTTCCCTGACCTCCCAGGCACCAGCAGGGGGCTCACCCTACCCCTGTGCCATCCCTCCACACTGGATTGTAACAGCCATTCCTGTCTACACCATCTGCCCCTTGAGGGCAGGGCCTTTTTCGTCTCCAGGAACCTAACATGGGGCCTGGTGGCATATATGCACATGTTCTCAGTGAATAAATGCACAGGTCATGTAGGATTCAGAGGGAAGGGCAGGGGCATGAAACACCCAAACGACTTTCTGTCCATGTAAACTAATAGCAATTCCTACTGACATGAAGGAAGAGAAAGACCCTTATGCAATTATTTCACAGTGGCCAGTGAAGAGCACCCTGCTGCTGTGAAAAGTGTCTATCCTCTCATGATTCAGGATAACACAGTTTCTTGAAGGTAGAGTTAGGAGTCACATATTAGGAGCCAGTAGGTGGCGTGGTGTTTGAGGCGCTGGACTCCCACATGGCTCACCACAGTTCGAGTCCCAGACTTGGTGGCTTACTTTCTCACTTTCCCTTTCTCTCTCTCTCTGTCTCTATCTGGTCAAATGAAAAAATAATAACAACAAATAAAAATTTAAAAATAATTCTTTTTTTAAAAAAAGATCACATATTAAGTAATTGTGACTCAGCCAGAGGCTGTTCTAACCTCACATCTTCCAATACCTTGAAATTGTTCATCCTGAACACTGCAGAGCAAACTGGAGAGGACCCTATGGGGTGAAAGAGCAAGGGCTCTGCACCCAGCCCCACAAGTGGGAGTTCAAACCCCAGCTTTGTCCCTAACCAGCTACAGGACTTGGGCTGGTCACATAATCTCGGCTTATCTGGAGCTGGTACCAGGCCTGCACCTGCAAGCTCTCAGGAGCCCTCCTCCTCTGGGTGCAAAGACGTGGTAGTCCTGGGCCATCCTTGGCTGGATATAATTTCCACAAATCCTCCTCCACTTACACTAGACTCCTGCAGGCACCAGGTGCTCATTTAAAGGAAGGTATCGCTCTCATTTTTTCTCCCTCTCCTTTTCCTGCTCTTCCTGAATCCCTCCTTTTCTTCTTCTTTTTTTTTGAATTTGCCAGAGGACACATGTGCTCTCAGAGGAGATAGAGAAAGAGGGAAATTAAGAAAGCACCTCCCAGGGGAATGATCCACATAGCAGTCCTTTCTCCTGTATCTCTCCTTTCAGGATTTTGGGCATGCACACACACATATCTGGTGTATTTTTCAAGCCGCCAGGTCCAAGACTCAAACCATGCAACCATGCAGTCGACCATGTGAGATCTAGTTACCTTAACCTCCACACTACCGGCTAGCCCCTATTTATTATTATTATAAAAGAGAATACAAGACAGAGACCGAGAGAGAAAGGCCCCCTTCACAGGGTCTCATCGTGCTGCAATCCCCTTTCCCCAGCCCATCAGCTCCTCGGATCCTGGACACCTGCATACCAGGTGTGTTTTCAAGTCAGTCTGGGGACCCGAACCCACAGCTCACAGCTTTGCAAGCCACTTGGTTACCGTTGTGCCACAGCAGCTGGGTTGGTATCTCTTCCTTTCTAAAAAGCTGTATTACCAGAGGAAAACAGTTCTCCCATTTTCAGTGGTCTCTGCAGGGACCCAGGGCTATCTTCACCCATAAAACCACCTTGCCTGAAAGTACCCAGACAGGGGCCACCTTCAGCATTTGCCAGGGAGACTGGGCTCAAAAGCATCCCCCCACCTCTCAGGTGAGGAGACCTAAAACCTCTCTATGACCAAGAAAGCATTTGTCAGAGATTCCCTTTCTCCCAGTACTCCAAGGTTGAAGGCAAATGGAGAGGGATTTTTTTCTTCCTGTATCATTTCCTCTAGTCTAAAAAATGAAAGGAATGCAAACACGGAAGAGATAATGGGCTTAGGCACCAGGTGATAAAAAGGTTTAGCAAGAATGGCCATGGGAACAGCACAAGCCTGAGAAGCCCTACTCCCTCTGACTCAGGACCTTCCCACCATTGAGAAACCACCTGAGCTGTCCAACCAAATGCTCCCCGGCTTCCTTTCTGGTTCTGAAATCATTATACCTCCTGACTCCAAGCCAAGTCACGCATTCTTACTGTTGCTCCCACTTCTTCCCCACTTCCCCACTCACTTCTCCCAATCTGCTATACATTTTAGGTGGTTTTGTTTTTGTTTTCGTTTTTAAAGAATTATTTATTTTATTTATTATCTTTTTTTTTTTAAATTTGCTATAGGGCAAACATGCCCACCAGTCCAGCCACACACACACACACACACACACACACACACACACACAAAGCAAGCTGCCAGGTCTGGGCCTTGAACCATGGTCGGCCATGTGGGAGTCCAGTAGGGTGTGTGTACTCACTGGAAATAGACAGAGGTTGGGGGAATAAGAAAGCACTTCCCCGAGCGGGTGTTTGCACAGCAATTCCTTCTCCATTCTCCTCTTGGGGTTCGGGGCATGTACATGCCCAGTGTATTTTTCAAGTTGCTGGCTTTGGGACTTGAACCATACATTCAGCCTTGTGGGATCCAGCTGCTTTAACCACTGGCCACCAGTTGGCCTGCTTTCAGTCTTTTTCTAAATTAAATTATTTTTTTCTGAACAAATGTGATAGAAATCAAGAGAGGAGAAACAAAAAAAAAAGCCCCCCAAATTCCACCACCCTTAACTTCTTGTCATTGGCACAGATTTTTTTTTTTTTATTTTTAGAGAGAGGTTTTTGCTGTAGGTTGTGTGCACTTGCTGGAGAGACAGAGAGAAACAGACAGAAAGTGAGAAATCACCTCCCAGGCAGGAAGACCATGCCACCATCCCTTCTCCTCCATTCTCCTCTCAGGATTTTGAGCACACATGCACACGTGCCCTGCGTGAGTTTAAGTTGCTGGGTCCGGGACTCAAACCACAGTCGACTATGTGGGAATCCAGCAATGTAACCATTGTACCATCTGTTGGTCCTAGCCCAGATTTTGTTTTTTCTCCCCCCTGGTAACTGACCGTGAGCAGGTGTGACTTCTGCAACCCAGAGACTGTATAGTGCAGTGGTGCAGTGGGTTCAGGGGCCAGTCAGATCAAGTTTGAACCCGGGCTCAGTCACTTCCTCTGTGCCTCAGCTTCTTCCCTGTGCAAACGTGGTAGTACCAGTGCCGAGCCCACTGGCTACTGAGAGATGTGAATCAGAGGACGTACGTAACCTAACAAACTCCGTTCAGCATCTGCCACGCGGTCAGTATTTCCACAGACACAAGCTGCAGTTCTGGTGGAAAACAGCGGAGATGGAATGTTCTGCTCTGTTTCTCTCACTTTAAACCATATAATGAGCATTTTCTTTTCTTTGTTTTATAAAAGTTCAGTCATTTCTTTCTTTCTTTTTTCTTTTTGGAGAGGTTTTCGCTATAGGGCGCATACGCTCGCCAGACAGACAGAGAGAGACAGAGAGACAGAAAGCGAGAAATCACCCCCCAGGGGGCATGGCCACACCGCAATCCCTTCTCCTCCATTCTCCTCTCGGGATCTTGGGCACGCACGCACACGTGCCCGGCATGAGTTTAAGCCGCTGGGTCCAGGACGCGAACCGCAGTCAACTACGTGGGAGTCCAGCGACATAGCCATTACGCTAACTGCTGGTCCCGTATTTCTTTCATAAGTGAAAGAGATAGAGAGACAGACAAAAAAAGAAGACAGCACCCCTATAGGCTCTTGACACCACCATCCACCCTCGTCTGCAGTCAGCCAGTCCAAGATCATGGGCCCAGGTACTCACAGTACACTCAGGGAGGTCTCTGAAGGCGAACTCAGCACCTTTCCATGTGAGTCAGCCTCACAGAGCATTGCATTGCCATCTAGCCCCCAATACACATTTTCCATGTTGCTTTTTCCTACTAAGGCCTGTTCTTTTCAGAACTGCAGGCCTCAGACTAAGCAGGAGGCTGGGGTCCTCGTATCTGGAGCATACCCAGCACTCAGTAACAACAGGGGGAAAACATTTTAAATCACTGCGTAATGTTCTACTGGTTGGCTCTGTGCCAATTGAGCTAACCATTCCATGGGGTCTGCTATTTGAGTAGCTCCCATTTTTCCCACTTTCATAAACAGCGTTGCTGTCAAGATCTCCCGACACATAGCCTTTTTATTCCCCGGGTGGGCAGGGAAGGAGAAGAGGGGTTGTCAATTTCATAAAATCTTTTTGAATAAAGAGTCTGATCATTTTTTTTTCACTTTCTAAACATGTTACCAGATTGCCCTCAAATTTGCTGTACCAAATTTACACTGTTGTTGGCAGCATTTTTTGATGAGAACTGCTTTTCACGCTAATTTACAGTTTTTCTCTTGGATCTGGAATTCTCAGCCTGGCTGGTTCTCCTGGGAGGCAGGAGGCATATAAAAAGATGTCTGAGTGATGGCTGTCAAGACAGGGGCGTGTCTGGCTCTTCCATGGGGTGCTGGGCTGGGAGTGTTTCTGTCTGCTGGGCTGGGCTGAGAGCACTGACTCAGGGCTCTCCTTCTCTGTCTGCTTTTTCTTTTCTTTTTGCTATAGGCTCCATGTGCTCACCAGAGAGAAAGAGAGAGAGAGAGAAAGTGAGAAACCATCCCCACCCCCAGGGGGGATGGCCACACCACAATCCTTCCTCCATTCTCCTTTAGGGATTTTGAGCACACATGCACAAGTGCCCACCATGATTTTCAAGCCACCAGGGTCCAAGACTCGAACTGCACAGCTAGCCATGTGGGATCCAGTTGCCTTAACCTCCATGCCACCTGCTGGCCCACACTGCCTGCTCTTTAACCTGCAGGCATCTTCTCAGATGGAGTCAGGGACATCCCATCCTTGCAGTGCAGGAGCATGCTGAGAACTCCTGGAGGGATGAGTATGTTCAGGTGACATTACTAACACCCGCGCTCTTACCCCATCCTGGCTCTTCATTCTGGCTTCTTGCAATGAGTCCATCAGTCACTCCTGGAAAGAGGATCCCTCCTGGGGGGAGGAGGAAGGGGACAACAGCCAAGTAAGGGAAGCCACATGCTCAGACAATCAGAGCCACTGACCAGCCTGTAACCTCTTTGGCCCTGCTGCTGCCATTCCCCTTAGACAGCAGCGTCACCTCTCCCAGGTTCTGTACACCCTCAGCCTTTGTCCCCAGCCCTGGGCCTCCTCCTCTGGGGGTGGCCCTTGTTTGCAAACAGCAAGGGGAAGTTTTGACGCTGCTGATTAACCAGACTCCCACAGCTCTCGGGACTTAGTCATCCCCATCAGGCTCAACCTTCCACCCACCCTGCCGCCCTGCCGCCCTGCGACATCACTAGCACGTCACCAGCTTTCGGGTGACAGGGAAGAAGTGACTAGCACCCCTGCAGTTTCAGTGGCTTTCATCTGCCCTCTTCCAGGGAAGGCGATGGGTGACTCTCCACTCACCCCGAACAACCAGAATGTGCAGGTCCTTGATTTACTCTGAATCAACTCAGCTCTCATCTGCAGAGGGACAAGCATGTGCCAGGCACAGGGCTAAACGCTTTCCGTACAAGATTGCTTTCGGTTTTATTTAATCCTCACAACCACACGTCCAGTCCGTGGGATTATTCCCATTTTACAGTGGGGAAACAGAGATACTATTATAAGAAGGGCCGAATGGAGGTCCATGAATGTGGAGGAGCCACTGTGGGAAGGTGGCTTGCATTGCTGAAAAAGGTGGGCCCTGCAGGGCACGAGCTGTGTCCTTGACCTACCATGTGGCCTTGGGGGATTTCTTCTCTTCTCATGTCCCTCTCTGGGTAGCTGAAAGGGGCAGGGGTCATCGGCCCAGCAGGACAGCCATGAGAAACAGAGTGGCCGGTTGGAAAGATGACTCTGATTCTGAGCTTCTGCTTGTCCTGATCTGGGGAGTATTCATTTCATCTCAGGACCTGGGGCTCTAGCTTTGCTATTTCCAGTTGCTTCACCAATGAATGCAAAGACAGGAAGTAGATCAGCCATTGTCAGGTCTGGGAGGTAAGGGGGAGAGGGTGAATGCTGCCATCAGGCTGCTGTAGAGGGCGAGGAAATGTTCTAAAATTAGATTATGGTGTTGGTTGTGCAACTCTGTAAACACACTAAACCCACTGAAGCTACGCACTATAAATGGAAGAATTTTAAGATATGTTATGTCTATCTCGATACAGCTGTTTAAGGGTCCAGGTGGTGCTGTGGTGATTCAACCACACCCACATGGCAGAGGTCCTGGGTTCGCATCCTGAGACCTCCCTGAGCAGGCCCATCACAGGCATGCGTGCCTGTGATCCCAGCCAGCTGAGACCAGGGGTGGATCTGGTGTCCCTGAAGGGGCATTTCTCTCTTTCCTGCCCTCTAGCATGGAGTCAATAAAGAAATACATTCTACAAAAATAAAATAAAGCTGTTTAAGAGAGAAAAGAGGGAGGGAGGAAAACAAGGAAACCCACAGAGGTCAGATCAGATCTGCCTTTGCAATTTGCCTTCCAGGAGTGGGTACCTCAGCATTCTGCTCTCCCCAACCATCCCCTTTCAAGTATCCCCACTCCAGAGCCCAAGAGAGATGTATGAAGACACCTAAATGACAGGGGACAGGGATGGTGGGGTGCTCTCTCTCCTGTGAGGTGAAAGAGCCATGAATTAAAGAGCAGGTGGGACCAGCAGTTGGCATAATGGCTATGCGCTGGACTCCCACATAGTTGACTGCGGTTCGAGTCCCGGACACAGTGACTTAAAACTCATGCTAGGCATGTGTGCATGCAAGCCCAAGATCATGAGAGGAGAATGGAGAAGGGATCACAGCGTGGCCATTCCCCCTGGGGGGTGATTTCTTGCTTTTTGTCTCTCTGTCTCTGTCTTTCTGGCAAGCGCACGCGCCCTATAGCAAAAAACCTCTCTCCCCTCCCAAAAAAAGAGCAGGTGTGTATGTATCTGGGTGGGTGTGTGTGTGGGGGGGATGGCATGCAAACTAATGGAACCGAGCAGAAGAGACCCTGCCAATAGAACTGGGTGAGGTATTGCTCGCATGCGGAGGGTCTAGAAACAAAGCACCAGGACCGGAAACCCAGGGCTGGCCAGGGGTGCCCTCAGTTGCTTGGAGACATCTTAGACCCCCAGAAAGCGTAAGGCATGCCTGCTGCTCCTGGAGGGGTGCTAACGACTGGCCTGGCATGTCTGCCTGGCAGTAGAAGGGGATGTGGATGGATGCAGCCCTTCCAGAGGCAACGCCAGCCCAGACTTGAAGTCAAGCCAGGTGCACAGGTGCAGGGGACCCCTGATGAGGGCAAAATTAGCTGATAAGAAGCAGGCACTCATTTCACACCTGCTGTTAGGGCTACTGTTGCAAGAGGAGATTCCCAGAGGGTCTTGGAGGCACGACTTCCCAATCTAAATCGCCACATCAGACAATCCCTCACCACCCTCGCCAAGCCTAACCTCCCCTCCATGCAGGCATGTCCTCTTCATGCCACTTCCTAGTGCAAGTGGCACTGCATGGCCCCGTCCTAAGTGAATAAAGGGAGATAGCCTTGGAGACTCCACTGCCCACTGAGAATCCTGGCCCCGGGGTCGAACTGAGTGAGTACAAAGTGTCTGCATGGCCGCAGTGAGGATTTCACTCCATGCTGGAGCAAATGCTTTCCCAGGCTAAGACCCACGCGGTGCCTGGCAAGCAGGCTGGTGAGCTGGAGGGCTTTGCAGACACCCCTGCCCAGTTCCTCCTGCTATGAGGGGCACATGCTCTTACTGGCTCCAGCTGCAGACCTGTCCCCAGGCAGGCAGGCTCCAGTCCAGGTCTCAAACCACTGCACCATACTGCCTCTCCAGGGAGCAATCACTATGAGGCACTCCCCAGCATGCATTCAGGCTCTTTGCTCTCTGTCTGTACCCACCTTGCCTGGCCTTTTCTCCTATTGACCTCCTCTACAATAAGGCACCCCATTTCTGGTCCATGACCCTACCGTCCTGCCTCCCCATCTTTGTTTGCATTTATGGTCAGTTCCTTCCACGATAATGGCCAATTCACCTGTGAGGCCTAATGAAAGGGTCACCTCTTCCATGAAGCCTTCTGGAAACTGCCCAGACAGGACTCCAAAAGCCATTTACGCTTCCCTCAGCTCACCTAGCATTGAATTGGCAGTTGCAGAAGACTTGTCAGTCTCCCCCATTGGACCGGAACTCCTTGATTCAGACTCCCCTGCCGTGTGATTTTGAGTAAGGTTCTTTACGTCTTTGAATCTCAGGCTCCTCATAAATGAGTATTGAGTATGTGCTTACCATAGGCCAGGTATGCTGTGCTAAGTACTCTATGTGAATGCTGTTTTGTTCTGTTTTGTTTTTAGGTTTCTGCCATAGGGCATATACACTTACTGGAGAGAGACAGCAAGAAGGAAAGTAAGAAATCACCCCCCAGTGGAGATAGTCACCCCTCCATCCCTTCTCCTCCACTCTCCTCTCGGGATTTGGGGCATGCACTCACACATGCCCAGCATAATTTTCAAGCCACTGGGTCCGAGACTCAAACCACTGGTCAGGTGGGAATCTAATGCCTTAACCACTATGCCACCTGCTGCCCCACCATGCATGATCTATTTCATTCTTAGTGTGCCTGTGAGGTAGGCACTGTTATTATCATCCCATGTTATAGATGAAGAAACTACTGCTGTTGTTCAGACCACCGCATTATCACCATGGCTGCTCTGTCTGCCATAAAACCTGGCATACAGCAGACACTCGGGTTCTGTCAAATTCAAGTATGAATGGAAACGGGAGGGGACTTGGGTAGGAAGGAGTTGCAGAAGTAGAGTCCTGCACAGGCTCCAGAACGCCCAGGCCTAGCCCTGCCCTGACTGGGGCCCGATTCTGGCAGACAACTGTAGCTGGGGACCTGGGATGGCCTGCTTTCACCTCTCCTCTCATCCCAGTCTCTACCCACACAGACTCTGATGAAACCAGTCCTGCAAAGCGCAGGGCTCCACCACAAACAGGCCAACTAGCAAATATGACCAAGCTCGGTGGGACCTGGGAGGTCAGTGGAGGCAGAACTTGTGCACATTTGTAACCAGCGTAGCTTCAGGGCTAGCTCGCCAGCTCAAGGTCACAGGTACAGACTGCTTCTCATTTCTGCTCCAAGCTCTGAGACACCCCAGAGTTTGTAGGATCCCCCTCCAAACATTTCCCAGAAGCCTCCGGGACTACTTGCAATGTCTCTGCCCGTCACCTCCCAACCTGGCTGAGCTGGGACCATGTCAACACTTGGCCTGACTCTTACCGAAATCCCCTCCCAGGCCGGCACTGACCACCTGAGCAGCCCTCACCAAGGGATCTGGGGGTGCCCACACACCCAAACATAGGCTCCAACATGAAAGGGAGGGGAGTATTCCCATGAAACACTCCACCCAGGGCCTGGGAGAAGGGGTGAAAACATCCTCAATGCCGCCCAGCCATGACTTGTCTCGCAGTAAAAATGCCTGCATTCATGACGTCACCAAGTTCTGATTCATCACAAATGCCCCAAACACCCAGACTCCGTCCATGCCCTTCCCCGCTGCGGCATACACACAGCGCTCGGCATCTGGGTTACGTCTGTGCCCTGCGCTGAGGCAGCCCGGGAGCTCCCCATCCATCTACCAGGCTCAGCTGAGCTGCGCCTGCTGCAAACAGGCTCTCATAGCCTTGAACTGCAGCTGGGATGAGACTCTTCAGGAGTTCTGTCCCTCCCTATGCCCCCAAGGCCCCCTCAGTCCTGGTGATACTTAATGGCCGTAAACAGGTACCTGGGGCCAGCTTGATGGACTACCGGTTAAAGGAGCTGGATCTCATATAGTTAACCTCACAGTTGCAGCCGGGGCCCCGGAAGCCTGAAAAACAGGCCCGGTGCATGTACATGTGTGCCCTGTATCTTGACAGGACGGAGAAGTGGAAGGCAGAGATTGAGGTGTGACCATGCCCCATTGGGGAGAAGGCTGCTTTTCCCCTCTCCTTCCCTCTCTGTCTCACTGTCTCTCAAAGCACATGTGTCTTCTGGCAATTAAAACAAGACAAGTATTGACAGGATAGATGCGATTGAACCAAACTCTCTCACTAGCGGATCGGTGCCATTTGACCTGCTGTCTGCAGTTGAAGAGTGAGCCTGGCGGTGCCGGCAAGAGGGAGGGGAGCTGCTCAAGCCCTTCTAATATCCCCATTCACAGGAGAGAAACTGGGGCCTGAAGAGATGAAGTGGCCAGTCCAAGGAAAGTGCCAGAAGCAGGTATTCGCGGCCATTTCTTTCCACCACCCAAATGGAGAGACCTCTTTCCAACCCAGACCATGACACTGCTTGCCCCACACCCAGAGCTGGGACATATGGAGTCAGGTGTGTCTTCGAGTGTCTTTAGGGCCCAGGGGTCTGTCTCTCCCTCTGTTCCTTTTGGGGAAAACCTTGGAAGACCTGCCTTGGACACTAAGCGGAAGCTGGGCAGAGAGGTTGGGGTTCCGGCTGCCACAGGGGCAGCTGGGCTCAGAATCTGAAGTGAGTCACGGCCGTGGAGGGTAGCAGCTGACATTCCTCGTCAGAGTGTTACAAAACCACAGCAGGCTGTGGAGTGACAGCCGGCAGCTCAGGCTGCTCAGAGTGTCGGAGGAATGTTGTTGCCAGACAGGTTTATGAGGCATCTGTTAAACCGAGCTCCAGAAACCAGGCCTGGGATGTTGCCACACCAGGCAGCCTCACGGGAGGCCACAGCACAAGACAGCCACCACCTTGCCACACAACAATGGCTCATGGAGGAACCCCAGACCTTGGGGATGCATGGAAGCCAGCCACCATCCCCAAGGGCAGTCACCTGCTCCAGGCAAAGGCTTACGGGAGACCATGACCTGGAGTAGCCACCCCACCTCAACCCCAGTAATATAGGGCCAGGGAGCTTGAAGGGCTTTCCTCAAAACTACTCTGTAGCCATCGCAATCTCCCTTGGGCCATAATAAGATAATGCGATTGATTGATCTGAATGATGACAATGACAGTAACGGCTAGGCCCGATACACAGCACCTCGCACGCTCCAGGGACCAGAGCCTTGAGTACTTCTGGGTCATCAAGCGTATGCATTTCCTCAGGCTGCTGTAACAAGCGGCCTCAAAGCAGGCCACTAAAACAGAAAAGTATTCTCCCGTCTGTCTGCATCTTCGCGCGCTCTCCCTTCTGTGTATCTGTCTCTGTGTCCAAATTTCCCCTTCTTAGAAGGACACCCGTCGTATTGGCTTTAGGGCTCTCTCTAATCCAATAGAACCTCATGACATTGACATTGCAATGACATTATTTTACTTTATTTTTGGTTTTCTTTTCTTTCTTTTTCTTTCTTTCTTTGTGTGTGTGCGTGTGTGTGTGTGTGCGTGTGTGTGTGTGTGCGTGTGTGTGTGTGTGCGTGTGTGTGTGTGTGTATGTGTGTTGCTTATTTGTTTTGTTATAGAGCATGTGCACTCGCCAGAGAGACACAGAGAAAAGAGAGAGGGAAAGTGATACATCACCCCCTCCCCCTAAGGAGGGATGGCCACATCGCAATCTCTTCTTCTCCATTCTCTTCTTGGGATTTTGGGCACGTATGCACGTGCGCCTAGTGTGATTTTCACGTAGCCATGTCTGGGACTCAAACTAGGCAGTTGGCTATGTGGGACCCAGCACCTTAACCTGTACACCAGCTGCTGGCTCAGTGACCCTGTTTTTAAAGAACATCATATTCAGAGTTTCCAGGTGGACATGCTTTTTAAAATTATTATTTCTTTATTTCCTTTTATTTGTTATTATTTATTATTTTTTACCTTGACCAAAGAGACAGAGAGTGAGTGAGAAGGGGAAAGTGAGAAAGTAAGCCACCAGATCCAGGACTTAAGCCACGGTCTGCCATGTGGGAGTCCAACACCTTAACCACCATGCCACCTGCCAGCCCCAAGACATGCATTTGACGGGGGAGAGCGGATTGGTCAGCCCAGTTTATCACCTGAAATTCTCTCAATAGTTGTCCTCATTTGCTCTTATGTCCCTCTTACAGATAACAGACACAGCCAGGATTAGAACCCTGCCCCTCTGATTCTAGAAGCCACACTCCACTGTCCCATCCATCATCCTCATCACCACCCTCTCCTCACAGGAACCTGACAGTTCAGCATTCACAAAACTCCTGCTCATCATCGCATTTTCTTTTTGCCGACACAACCTTTAAGGACCCAGTTTACAGCATACAAAGGGAACAGAAGCTCTGCTCACTAACTCGGCCAAGGTTGCATAGCTGCAGAGGCCTTTCGACCCCAGGCCCGGGATGCTCCACGCTGTCAGCTCCAAATGAGGCTCTCACGGGTAGTAGGTTCGAAGCCTCTACTAAACCAGTGCAGGCTCTTCACGCTGTGTGATAGATGACGCTGCCGTGTGTACCAAAAACACCCACTTCAGTGGCGCCTGCCCAGCTCATGAGGTACTACAGCATCACTGGACTTCCACATAGCCAACCACGGTTCGAGTCTTGGACCTGACAGTTTGAAACTCACGCCTGGTATGTGTATGTGTGCCCAAGATCCCAAGAGGAGAATGGCAGAGAAGTGATTGCGGTGTGGCCATCCCCACAAGGGGTGATTTCCCGCTTTCTGTCTCTCTGGCAAGCACACATGCCCTATAGCAAAAATCTCTCTTAAAAAAAAAAAAAAAAAAAAAGCACTGCAGTTTTACATTCCCTTCCTTGGGAATCAGCCCTCGCTCCCTGTCTGTTCTCCCCAGGAGCGAGGCCAGCTCTTTGAACAGCCTTTTCTACAAAGTGGAAAAATCTGGGTCAGGAATCCACGAGGCCCTCCCAGCTCAAGCTGAGCCGCGGAGTCTGGGGAGACCGCAGCAGAAGTGATGGGCACTGGGCCTCTGTCACTCCCAGCTCCCAGAGTTTTTCTATCTTTTCAAGAAGGGCATTTATCAAGGGCCAGAGGCTGCAAGAATGGCTACTGGGGTAGAGGCACCTTGGAGGGTAGTAAAGGATGGGATGAGGCAGGAGGAAGAGGAGAGGACCGAGAATCAGAAGACTGGGGGGATTCGGCGTGCTTCAGAGCCATTCAGGGCAAACGAGGGTAGGGGACACATGACTTGGCATAGGCAGGAGGAGGGACTCTGGTGAACCTCCTATGTGGACACTATCAAATGACAGTGAGGGAAGTTTAACCTATCAAGGAGACTTCACCTCCTGACCTTGAAAACCCAGTGGCTTCCAGTAGAATCTAAGCTCCTCTGTGCTCAGCAAGACCCTCCAGAGCTGGCCCACTGACCTCTGAAGCCCAGATCAGTTCCAGGCCCCAGACTTCCTTCTTGTTCCATGTGAAACCTGTCACCAGACCTCTGCACTTGCTGTTCTCTGCTTGGAATGCCATCTCCTTAACTCTGTGCACACTCTCATTCGTGGAGATATCTCAGGTCATCGTCCTTCCTCAGAGCAGCCTAGAGTTGGGGACCACCCAACTCTATTATTATACTATCATTCGCTCTCTCTTTAAGGTCATTTTTTTCTTTCACAAGAGTGAGACAAACAGAAACACACAGAAAGACAAGCACCCTCTGCAGGGCCGCATGCCATGGTCCCCACCCCGGCCCTCCCAGCCAACCAGCATCATGGGTGTGTACGTGTGTAAAGATCGACCATGGAACCAAACCCACCGTCTTCCACACGGACCCAGCAGCACTTGGGCAGCCCGTTATTGCATGCCACTGAGCCAGCCCCCCAGTTATTCTCATCTTCTCCCCATTTTATTTCCTTCACATCACTGACCGCAACCTGCAATTACCCTGTTTATTTATTCTTTAAGATGAGCAATGTCCGGTTTTTTCCTCAGTGGCGCCATTCCACAACCCACTTGCCCTGTCTACCTGCTTGCTATTCCCCTTGAAGGCAAGGATTTCATCTTGTTCCCTACTTGCCCCAGCGCCTCACACACAGCAAGGCCTCAGTGGAAGAAATGAATTAATTCAATAGGGACTACAGGGTCACAGACGGATAACTCAAGGACCAGGGAAAGACTGGGCTGGCAGTTGGATACAGGGGGAAGAGTAGCTCAGGAGAGTGAGGTCAGAATAGAAGTTGCTGGGACCAGCAGTTAGCGTAATGGCTATGTCGCTGGACTCCCATGTAGTCGACCACTGTTCTAGTCCTGGACCCGGTGGCTTAAACTCACCGGGCGTGTGTGTGTGCGTGCCCAAGATCCCAGGAGGAGAATGGAGGAGAAGGGATTGCGGTGTGGCCATCCTCCCCCCGGCCCGCGGCGGTGGGGAGGGGGTGATTTCTTACTTTCCGTCTTTCTGTCTCTGTCTTTCTGGTGAGTGCACGTGCCCTATAGCACAAACCTCTCCAAAAACAAACAAACAAACAAACAAACAAGAAAATAATAGAAGCTGCTGGGAAATATTGGGAAGGGGATGGCTAAGCCTTCAGCCAGGAGGACTTCCTGGAAGAGGGTGACCAGGCCATGTGAGAAGATGTTCTGCCTCTGGCTGCAGTTTTGGGTAGCAGCAGGAAGAAGAAAGGGAAGCCGGAAGAGACCACCAAAGAGACCAGACCAGGGAAGAGTTCCTTAGTCCATGCCCAGCCCCAGGCTGAAAAAGGGATTCAGATTAGCAGGCAGAGGTTTTTAGACTTGAAGGTGAACTTTTGCCCTATAATCCTCTGGCAATCTCTCCCAAGTGCTGAAGGCTGATTGTTCCCTGGTTTCTGGCAGGTCTGGGGAAAGTACAAAGGTCGCCTCTTATCACAGCAAGTACATGGCAGGAGGGGGCAGTCGGCAGGAAGGGATTCCTGGGGACCTGGACAACAATTGGCTGACCTCGAGTCCCAAAGTTAAAGGAAACAGCACCTGCATGAAAAACACCAAGAAAATTCCTCCGGACACCATGGTCCAGTGGTTAAGGAAACGGCTCTAGGGTTCAAATCCTCAGCCATCTTTCCCTGTCGGAGCAACCTCAGGCAAGCCCCAAATCTCCCTGAGCCTATTTTCTTCTGTGCAAGGTAAGTGGGGATAAGCACATCACTTGGCCTTCAGAGTCGTTGACAGGATGAATGAGATGCGATCTCGGACACTAAGCAGGCTCGGGCCTGTTGAGGCTTGGGTGGGAGACCATGCACTGGGGAGCCTGGAACACAGTAGGTGCTCAGTACTCAGGAGCTGGTTACGTACCAGGCACTGCTGGAGGGTTCTTCACTCTAGAAAACTGCTGGTCTGTCCACTTCGAAATGTTAATGTCTCTCGGAAAAACCGAGAGAAATTCAGGGATTACTCCAGACTGACAGAGAGTAAAGAGACATGACGACACACCACAGCACCTGAGCCTCCATGCGCTTCGCTATGAAGAACAGTCTTGGGACAAGTTGCAAAACCTGGCTTAGTCTGCAGAGTTGATAGTAGTGTCGTTTAGTTTCCCGATTGTGATCGTCGTTTGTGAATTACAGAAGAAAGCTTATTACTAGGAAATAGACGCAAAGTTTTTAAGGGTAAAGAGGAACTATATCACTTACTCTTTTTAAAAAGAATAATTAATTTAATTTTATTTATTTATTAATTTTTAATTTTATTATTTTAATTAATTAATTAAAATTTTTTTAGAGAGAAAGATTTTTGCTATAGGGCATGTGCACTTGCTGAAGAGGCAGCAAGACAAAGAGACAGAAAGTGAGAAATCAATCCCCGCCCACCCCTGGGATGGCCACACCACAATCCCTTCTCCAGTCTCCTCTCGGGACCTTAGACACGCATCGCACATGGGAGTCCAGTAACGTAATCATTACTCCATCTGCTGATCCCTATTATTATTATTATTATTATTATTATTATTATTATTATTTTGAGAGATCTTTTTGCAATAGGGCACATGCGCTCACCAGAAAGACAGAGAGACAAAAAGCAAGAAATCACCCCCTGGGGGGATGGCCATGCTGCAATCCCTTCTCCTCCATTCTCCTCTCAGGATCTTGGGTATGCACACAGATGCACCCGGCGTGAGTTTAAGCCACTGGGTCTGGTCTGGGATTCGAACTGCGGTCGGCTACATGGGAGTCCAGTGACATAGCCATTATGCCAACTGCTGGTCCTTTTTTAAAAATTATTTTTAAGAAGCATTTTATTTTACTTTTTAAAAATAACTTTTTATTGATTATTTTTTATTTATTAATAAATTACGTTTTTTTATTATTATTGTTTTTTAATTTGCTATCAGGCACATGCACTCACCAGAAAGAGGTAGATAGAGAAAGAGAAAGAAAGTGAGAAAGCAAGCTTCCAGGTCCAAGACCTAAACCATGGTTGGCCATGTGGAAGTCCAGCATACCACCTGCTGGGCCCATATTTATTAGTTTTTAAAATTTGCTATAGGGCCCATGTGCACACCAGAGAGAGACAGAGAGGGAGAAGGAAAGTGAGAAAGCAAACCACCAAGTCTGGGACTCGAACTATGGTTGGCCATGTAGGAGTCTAGTGCCTTCACCACCACGCTACCTGCCAGCCGCTCTCTTACTTTTTTAATGAAAGGTATTTTTGACACGGTCTTGACATGTCACAAACCTCCTGCCCCAGCTTCCCAAGTTACCTAGAACTACAGGCTCACGTCACCATCCCTGGCCTATTTCGTCTGGGCTGGGAATTGAACCCAGTCCTCTCACGTGGCCTCAGCCTCCCAGTAGCCATGTCTTTGCAGAGTGCATCATTGTGGCTGGGTCTGCCACTTACTCTCAAACAGTTCAGATGGAGAGAGAGAAAGGGGTCAGCAAATGTAGCAAAGTGCTATGCTTGGGGAGTCTGGGGGTGGGTATTAGGAATTCTTTACACTATATTTGCAACTTTTCAGTAAAGTCTATCATTGTGAAAGACAGAAGGAGGAAGAGGGAGAGGGAGAAGAGGAGGAGAAAGAGAAGAAAAAGAATAGACAGTGTCTGCTCATGAATGGACAGTCTAGGTGGGGAGAGTAAGGTGGTTAAGGTGGCTGTATTCCACATGCCTGACTGTGCAGTTCAAATCCCAGACCCGGCAGCTTGAAAAACATGCTAGGCATGTTTTCAAGCATGCCCAAAATTGCTAAGAGAGGGAGAAATGGAGAAGGAGGGATTGCAGCAAGGCCATTCCCAATAAGGGGTGCTTTCTCACTTTCCTCTCTATCTCTCTCTAGAGATCACACGTGTTCGTGCCCTCTA